AGTTTTCTTGGCCTTTGAGGGAGGAGTACGCAGACCCTGCACTTCCCGAAAAATGAGTATCTGCCAATCCTCAGGAAGAAAATAAAGTGGGGAGGAGTAGCTGTTCTGTGGTTGCTAATAATTCAGGAGTATGACATAATCAAGCTATCAAAATTCCAAAGGCAACAAGTATTCTGAGAACTAGGCAAGTCACATTGCATACAGAAAAAACTCATGAACTTGTAAGAAGTTTACAAAGATGGTTACATCTTTACATCTGAAAGTTCAGTATATCTCCAGGTAGTAAGAGTAGCATGAGCTGATGACAGTGGGACCAGTAATCTATATGTGTCTCTGTTCAGCATTTATTCCCCTCAAAAAAACCCCCAACTCTATTTTTTTTCTTTTTGTTTTTAAATAAAAAAAAAATTTTATCAACTTACTTACTGGAACAAAAGAGTGAAAAAAAACTATAAGTAGGTGCTTTTGAATAGTCCCAAATTTCAAGTTGGTTAGTTCTGCTTTTGGAGGCGGGAAAGCATCTTTCCCTTTTCAACTAAGAAAAAAAGCATCAGTTTGATAATTGCTGTTAGACTCTTGTCTTGAAAGACAACTCTAAAAATTAATGCCACTTTGGTGGGTTTCTGTTTTTTTAAGGAAATTCTGCACTGTATTTATTTGAATGCTATGACACAAGAACAGAGAGCTGGCACACGAAGCCCAGCATGCTGACTCAGCGATGCAGCCATGGAATGGTAGAGGCGAATGGTCTCATTTATGTGTGCGGAGGGAGCTTGGGAAACAATGTCTCTGGAAGAGTCCTAAATTCCTGTGAAGTTTATGATCCAGCCACTGAAACGTAAGTATTGTATTAATTCTGGTTATTTTTAGTCATTTGCGTCTTTGCTAGCTCTGTAAATGACTCAAATATAGATGACTAAAGGAAAAACTGTGTGTGGTAAGGAATTTTCCAGAGTCAGCAGTGAGGAATCACTTATTTGTAGCTTTACTTGAAAGGCAGTTTTTCTTTAAGCAGCTTTTGTCCCTATCTCATTTTCTTAATGATAAATTTCTTTTACATATTTTATGCTTATTTTCCATAAACTAGATGGTGACTCTTCCTCTTGTCTTTGGCTTTCTTTTTCCCCAGGTGGACTGAGCTGTGTCCAATGATTGAAGCCAGGAAGAATCACGGGCTGGTGTTTGTAAAGGACAAAATATTTGCTGTGGGTGGACAAAATGGTTTAGGTACTTTAATTCTCTTGATTCTCTAGCTGGTCACACAGCAATGAATTCTGCTCTGGTCTATTTTCCAATGAATTCTGCTCTGTTTAGCTGAAAAACTCTGAGTGACACCATCAAACATCCTATTGTTGCCACATCAGTTCTGCCTTCCTCTTTTCACCTCCCCACTTCACTGTATCTTATTTTTTAAATTCTTGTACTAATGACAGTACTATCAAGTTCAGGTATGCACCCCTACTGTAGCCCAGTTCTGAAGTAGTTAATATGGCTAAACCAGGCATCTAAGAAAAGAGAGTTTTTGGGTTTGTGTTGTTTTGTTTTGTTGGTTTTTTGGGTTTTTTTAATTTAGTTATTTATTATGTGTTTTGAGATATTTTAACATTCTTTTGAGAGACAGGTAAAGGTATAGCCCCTATTTTAGGAACTTCAGTCCAAAGACTTAAAGACAGTCAGATATTATCAAGTGGTGAAAATGTAAGACCTCTTTTGACTGCCCAGCTTTGAAATAAGACTTACTGTCATGGGCAGGTCATTTATGTTCTGCTTGTCTCCTTGTCTTTAAAACTTGAAGAATAATAGTTTATTTACCAGAATAATTGAATTTTAGTTACCGTGGGTTTCTAAAGTGCTTTTCAAAATGGAAAAATCTCATTTTGAGGTTTTAAAATCACTATTTGTGGTAAGTAGAATACTTGATTTCAGATGAATGCTATTTTAGAATATAGCTTGATTTTTAATTGGCTACTAAAACTATTTCATCATGATTGATTCCTAATGCAAAAACAGTAGATGCATTTATTATCAATCCATAAGTGCCAGAGCTGCCATCTTGTACAATGTTAGCTGAATGCTCCTTTTAGAAATGCTAATGATTGTTCTTACTGGAATAGAATGAAGAAGAGTTATGTCTGGGGTGAAAGACTCGTACCTCTTAACATGATAGAAAGGTTTCTTAGTCTCTTAGATCTAAAAATTCAGAACTGGAAGTGAAAACTGACTCAGTTGTTAAATAGGGGTAACAATGTTTGTCGCTATTGTAAGGTGCAATTACTAACATATTTCCTGAAGAAGTGAATCTTAGTCACAAAATCTACTCTTTTCTAATAACTTTTGGTTTCTTTGGCCCTTATCAAAGGGACTGAGGCATTTACACTTCAATGATTTTACTAGCATCATGAATAGAGACATCTTCTCTCAGATGGCCAGTTTTGGTACCTATGAGTCCTCTAGAATAAAATGCCCTAGCTATAGGGAAGTTTCAGATAGATTTCTAAGTTTTAGTCACTAGCCACAAATCCATCACAAATTCAGCATCGTTAGTTCTTCTGTTCATGAAGTAGTAACATGTTGGAATCCCTAAAAAGCATCTAATGTGAATTTGTTACAACACATCTTGCTTTCAATCTCCTTTTTACTTTTCTCTGTATTTATACAAGGGTAAACTGCTAGTTTAGAAACCTGGGGTGTTTTTTCAGGTTTGGTTTTTTTACTGTATGGTTTTTAAAACCTTAAAAGTAAAGACTTCAGTTTCATGGAATATTTGCATGCTCTAGTTCAGTCCATACAGTATAATGTAATAAGCAATAATCTATGTCATTGTTTTGTAGGTGGCCTTGATAATGTAGAATATTACGATATCAAGATGAATGAATGGAAGATGGTGTCTCCAATGCCATGGAAAGGTGTAACAGTGAAGTGTGCTGCTGTGGGATCTGTAGTCTATGTCCTGGCTGGTTTTCAGGGTGTTGGTCGCTTAGGGCACATTCTGGAATATAACACTGAAACAGACAAGTGGATAGCCAACTCCAAAGTCCGCGCTTTCCCAGTGACGAGTTGTTTAATCTGTGTTGTAGACACCTGTGGGGCAAATGAAGAAACATTAGAGATCTGAAGACCTGTAGGAGATGCTGAGACATTCTTCAAGGACTTGGGGAAAGATGGCTATTGGTGCTTTGCTTCCATATTTTACTGAATCTTGTTAAATTTAATAACAGGAGAAAATAAGATGCAGCCTTTCAGTTTGTATATACAGCATATTGTGTAATGTGGATTTTGTCATACCCATTTTCTTGCCTGTTTTAAGAGATGGGGATGTGTTTTGAGAATCCACTTACCTAGGTGACATCTCATGGCATCTTCCTTTAAAAGGACTGTGGGTGTGGCCTTGTCAAACATAGACCAAATTAAAAATACGTAGAACTCTTCTAAAGCATTTGGTGAAGAAAAGATTTCTGGTTAAATGACACTTTACCAAGGTCAGTTGCAGAGATACTTCATTTAGTAATGGTGAGTAGATATAGTTTGGGTCATGAGAAAGATGAGCAAAATTTTTTTCTCATTCATACCTACTGCAGAAATCTTACCAGGATGCAATGAAGATATTTTCTCAGGAAAGACCAAGGACTGCTGTCTAATAAAGATTTCCAATGTTTCTACAGCTCTCTAGATCGTGATAGCTGCCCTCTTCCAGTGAGTTTCTTCCATTATTTGCATGACTGCTTATCAATTTTTGAAAGTTAGAGAGGCCATATATAGAGATTAGAGAAACATTTTGATGGTCTCTTTGGCATTTTGGGGAGCTTTCACAGAAAGACTTGGAATTTTTTTTTTTTTTTAAATTACACTGAGGAAAGGGAAGTCAAAGGGTGAAGTCGACAAGAATTGTGCACTATAATTAACAAGTTGGAAACTTGGAGTGAATTTTCAGTCTATCTTCCCAGGCATCAGCCTGTACATACTGTGGATGCCAAACTTGTAGCAAAGATGGGAAGAGGAATGGGAAAAGCAAATACAATATACAGATATATTGATTTTCTTCTTGAAAGTGACTGTTTTTAAAATGGCATGAACAGAGTCATTAAAGATACTTTACAGAAGTCTTCAGAAGTTGCGCATGGTTTTTCATCTCTGGTCTAGAAGCACAGAGTTCTGTAAATGCTTTCAGCCACCATGATGGTAAATTTCTTCGTCCAGCATAGAAGTCCAGCCTGCAAAGCTCTCAGTGTCATCAACACTGTATGCCTCTTCTCAGTTCTGGAGAACTATACAAATGATGTCTGGATGTCTGTCCTGCTTCTATACTAGTTTATTAATAGCTTCATCGTAATTTTGTCACCTCTCTTCCAACTTGCTCATTTTTCCAGATCTGTTTCTATGAGACTATTGAGTTAACTTCAAAAGTTGGTGCTTGCCTACCTGTACCTTGTACCTCACTGGTGCTGTGGATGTTTAGTCTGTTCTAATTTCGAAGGTCCTCCAAATTCTCCTAAGTAGTCTAAATCCTGGTTTTCAAAGTCAGTGCTTCTTTGTAGGCTTCCTCCTGGTTTTCTCCCTCACCCTGTCAACTCTGCCTGTACAGGCAGGAGTAGATGCGCTCATGGGCTCAATAGCAGTTCCTGCAGCTCCGTTCTTTATTCAGCAGTAAGTGAAGGCTGCGCAGCTTTTTTTTTTCTGTTCCCCCTTCCCTTTCCCTTCTCATAACCACGAAACAAACGTGTCCCTGGTGCCTCCACTCCTTGAGAATCGTGGGGGGAACTCTGCCCTTTTTGGGCTGGACAGGCGTTTTGTCTTGTTTGTATGCGCTTTTAAACTCGCGGAGCCCCGTTGTTCTAAGGGTTGAATATTCCTTGGCCCCCAGCGACGGCGCGGGGCGGCCACGCTCGTCCTTCGGCTCCTGCGGGGCTGCTGCCGCCTCGGCTGCAGCGGCGGGAACGGGGTCCCGCACCTCTGTCCCCGGGTGCCCGAGCGCGGCGGGGCGGGACGGGGGGCTGGAGGCCGCCCCCGGCCCTGTCCCGGTGCCGGTCCCGGGCGCTCCGAGCGGCCGCTGCCGGCGGGAGCTCCGGAGCCGGCCGGGGCTGTCGGCAGCGGCCTCCGGTTCGGCACCCGCGGGGCTGGGCTCCAGCGAAGGGACTGCGGGATGTGCCACAAGACCACGGGAAAAGCGGCTCGGGAAACTTTCCTGCCAGGAGCAGCTAAGTGTCCAGGAGCTGCGTGCTGTGGCTGGTGAAAGTTGTTTCCTTTCCCACTGGCTCTAGGTCTTTGGGAGCTTGGGGAAGGTGAAGGACACGACGGCGAGCCGAGGGCTGTAGTGATGGCACGGCAGGAACACGGCTGCAGCCGCTTCTCTTTATTCCTGTCGAAGGAGGGTGGTGTTTCGCCAGTTCATTTTGGGCGTTCACACCTATGAAGTTTGATAATGAATCCCATGTGTGTCTCCAAAAGACCATGTAATAAAGGCCCATTTATTCGTAAATATGGAGAGCAATTGTAAGTATGAATCTGTTTTCTTGGAGGTTTTGACGACTACTATCCTTGTAGGCTTTTCGGATGTCTTGCCAGAAGAGCTGCGTCTGGAGTATTACAACTGCAGAGCACAGAATATCATTGGGAATTACGTAAGAATTTTAAAAATGCTGACTGTTGTGGACACCATGAGATAGGACTTGTTATTGTTCTTCAGTTTCCTAACTCTTGACTTACTTAGTTCCCAACTCCAGGAGATTATCAGAATGCCATAATATCCTTCAATTCTGGTACAGCAAACAGAATGCTGAAACAGCTGCTGGTCTGTATGCTCTGCCATAACATCCTCTTTCTGCCTGAGATCCCTGGCTCAAATTGTCCTACCTGATCTTACTCTTCATATAAAATCAAAGAAGTTGATTTAGGAGCAATGGGAGGAGCACTTAGAGGAATTCTCTGTTAATTACAAAAATCTTGTTTTCTTGCTTTGAAGTTTCAGGGAAGCCAAAATGCTGTCTTCTTGGCTTAATGAAGTTATTTTTTAATTTTGGATACCTTTCTTAGTTCAGTTGTCAGGTCACTCTTCTTTTGTATTGAAGTCTTCGGTAATAATGATATGCTTTTCTTTTCCCACTTTTTAGATAAATGCTGTTAGTTGTACAATGGAAAAATCGTCTGCTTCAGCTGAAAGCTTTAAATGCATCTACAAAAGCAGCTTTGGTAAGTGTTCAGGAAAGGCAAAATGTTCCTATAGTCACCTCTGAATGAATTAATTTACGCTGATGTTAATTTCAGCTACAAAGACTTCTGAGATATAGCTAATTGTGATGTTCCACCTGGGCATATCCTCCAGAATCCTGAGATCAGTGAATTGCAGGCAGGTATTATAGACCCCTTTAGTTCACTAAGAGAAAAAGCTAGTCTGGATGATTCCATGTTAGCAAGGCAGCAGCTGGATCCCAGCTTTAGAATATTCTCATTACAAACCACATGAAAGGGATCAGAACTTAGCACAGGAAACTGGATGTGCCAAGGAGAGAGAAGAGAGCGAGTGAAAGCAGTGCCCTAGATAGAGTCACAAAGCACAAGATGAAACAGGAAGAGATGAGACCGAGAGCTGCAAGAGGTGATCAAGTCATTGACTGACAGGCAAAAATCTATAAATTGTAACAGATTTGCATTTCTGCAGTGCTTTTCTAGAAAAGAGTGTGTAGAGACTGAAAGCGTTTTGTTCATAACCGCAAGAGCATGTGATCATGATGAAAGTGATCCGTGTCAGACTGGGCAGCTCTATTTTTGCTTCAAGTAT